AGTGGCTTTTTACCACATTACAACTGTATATCATTTGTAAATGGAAATTTGTTAGACACTATTTAAATGCCCATTATGACTGGTCAGCGATTTGTTTATTTTGGTTATCATTTAGCACCCTCTGGTGGTATGTCTGTAGAAAAACATGATCTGATGCAATACCACTTCTTTGTGATGAAATAGACTAGTGCTTTCTAGAAGCTTCTGGCATCTTCCTGCCTCGAGGGGGCGGGATTACCCAGGAATCCTGCAGATCTTTCCAGAATGTTGCTAGTCTATGTAAATGCTGTGATTTTGGTCAGGAGAGGTAGAGTTTTTGTTTTGGCAACAGAGTTACATAGTGGCATTAGAGTGTGATTGTAAGATTAAACAGTGGATTATTTGTAGAAGTTTTTTTTTTTTAAATCAGTGAAGAATAAATTTGTTTAAGTTGTCATTGCTGGTTTTCTTTGTTGTGATTTTCAAGTCATAACATTGTTATTTGTAATTATCATTTGTTTTGATCTTATATTTTGGTATACTGCAGTAATTTACATATTATATGTTTGTCTAGGTTTGTTGTTTTTTTTTTGTTTGTTTTTTAATGAGTGAATTGTCCATGAAAATTCCAATAAAAAGAATAAAAAAAAGAATTAAAAAAAATTCAAAAACTGCGTTATAAATTTTTTTCAAAATCAGGCAATCAACTTTCCTTGGTACCGTCAGAGCCATGTAGAGAGAGAGTCGCGTCAACTCCATTGACTCCAATGAGCCACTTTTTTACAGTAATGGCAGGTCGTGGAGTCTCCCAATAGTTCCCGGAAGTTAGCGTTGAATGCATTTTCATCGCCTCCATTTTTAATTCCCATGCGTTTTCATCACCTCCATTTTTATCAATTAATTTTTGTTACTTCCACCCCTCATACACAAGAGATCTCTGATTTTCATGGTTTGTGCGAAGTAATGATTTTGGAGCAATTTAAGAATATGCTTCCCGGTCGCGTTGCAACTTTGATCAATGAGATGAGGCTGCCATGGCAGCAGATGAGTTTGAGCCAATACTCATCTGCTGGTTGCAGCACTTAACTGAAGCTACATCACATTTATATTGAAAGATATTTAAATGCTGGACACCATGTTTTTTATGGCCACAGCATTACACCAAACGCAATACATTTAGATCTAGTACATCATTTTATACACATTTCCCTGTAATTCAACAGGACATATTTGGGATTGTTGGAAACCTTGGGATCTCCCCTAGAATTTGAAACAGAGCTGAAGTTTCGCAGGTTTGAATACAGCAGCTGTATGTGACTCACTCATTCATCATGAATCATGGGTCTGTAGGTTTTACAAGGCTGAAGATGTCAGCTAGACACAGGAGGAGCACAGCACTGGAGTAAGATGAAGGCTGGATACTGAAAGCTTATCTCAGTGTATTGCAAATGTGCAGATGTCTTCAAAGAGAGAGCAGATGTGTTGAGCCGTGTTCGTGAATGCACAGCATGTATGAATGGAAGTACGTGAACAACAGTACACAGGCTTGTTCTTGGGTCCATTTGTACTGAAAAGATCAACGTCGAGGACTTACCTTGGCAGTGTCTCGCCAATGTAGCCTTTCAAGTCTATGTCGCGCCGAAGGAGTCAATGCTTTTAGTATGTCGGAGAAAACTAATGGAGCTTACTCCACATCGTCAGGGGGAATTCTGGATCCAACCCATCTTTTTTCGGCTTTTTATTTGGGGGGTTTTATAGTGAGAACGGGGGTTTCAAGTTTAATATTACATTTCATATCGCAAATGCAGATGCTATACCTGCCCTCGCAACCTCAAACTCAGAGTGACACACGCTATATCTCCTGCTTCTGGACACACTGGAGGCAATGTCTATATGTTTTTTAATTGATCTGTGCCTTGTGATATGCTTAGTCTAGATACCTAGGCTATCTCTGTATTGTTGTTTGTTTGTATGTCACTTTTATGGACCTATTTGAGTCTGAAATAAAGTTTATCAATCAATCAATCAATCAAACCCAGTGTGTCATCAGTAACATGGCAGCTGCCGCTATATGCTGCCACCGCGAATAGCAGCACTAGAAACTAAACTCTAAATTTTCTTGGTTGAATAGCAGCGTCTTTAGAAATGTTTCTAAACCCAAACATTAAGCTTACTGTTGATATTGATGGAAGTTTTACACAGAATTCTTAATCTGGCTGTCCAGAAACATCATTTACACTGCACACCCCAGAATGTTCCTGAAAATTCTTCTGGTTATAGTCCGAATCAACGCTATTAGCTGCCTTTTATCACGGGGAAAGCGAAAGAACTTAATATTCCCCTTTTTTCAATGGGTTTTGTGCATCTTCTGACATACGTTGTATGCAAAGAGCATACTTGCAACGTAACCCAAATCTCACTTAAGCCGAACTGGTCTATTCTGCTCAACACAGCAGTTCAGTTTGGCAGATATTACATACAGAAATCAAGCTGTAATCAAGATTGTCAAAATGAAAACCACCACGGCACTTATCACCACATCATGTATATGGGCGGAGCCATTTTATCATGTGCAAAGCTCATGAACAGAGAAGTCTGCACAGGAAAATCCCAACCTTGGTGTACAGTTAATCTCTGGGTTCCAGAAACATCATCTGCCTTGTCATTCCATGCATTGGCAAGAAGTTTCAGAACTCTTGTCTTTGTGTTTTTAGCTTACTGGCCCTTTCTTGGCACGTTATGTAAATCGTAGATAAAAACAGAATACAATGATTTGCAAATCCTTTTCAACTTATATTCAATTGAATACACTGCAAAGACAAGATGTTTAATGTTCAAACTGAAAATTTTTTTTTTTTTTTTTGCAAATAATCATTAACTTAGAATTTAAAAGGCAGCAACACATTGCAAAAAAGTTGGCACAGGGGCCTTTTACCACTGTGTTACATCACCTTTCCCGACACTCAGAAACGTTTGGGAACTGAGGAGACCAATTTTTGAAGCTTTTCAGGTGGAACTCTTTTCCCATTCTTGCTTGATGTTTAAGTTGTTCAACAGTCCGGGGTCTCCGTTGACATTTACGCTTCATAATCGCCACACATTTTCAATGGGAGACAGGTCTGGACTACAGGCAGGCCAGTCTAGTACCGCACTCTTTTAATCTCGGAGCCATGCTGTTGTAACATGTGCAGAATGTGGAACTGAAATAAGCAGGGGCGTCCATGAAAAAACGTTGCTTGGATGGCAACATATGTTGCTCCAAAACCTGTATGTACCTTTCAGCATTTGTGCACGTGAGTTATGCCTTGGGCACTAATACACCCCCATACCATCACAGATGCTGGCTTTTGAATGCGCCTATAACAGTCCGGATGGTTCTTTTCCTCTTTGGTCGGAAAAAAGTTTCCAAAAACAATTTGAAATGTGGACTCGTCAGACCACAGAACACTTTTCCACTTTGCATCAGTCCATCTTAGATGAGCTTGGGCCCAGGAAGCCGGCGGCGTTTCTGGGTGCTGTTGATAAATGGCCGCTTTGCATTGTAGAGTTTTAACTTGCACTTGCAGATGTCGAACTGTAGTTACTGACAGTGGTTTTCTGAAGTGTTCCTGAGCCCATTTGATGTCTTTACACACTGATGTCGGTTTTTGATGCAAAGCCTGAGGGATCGAAGGTCACGGGAACAATGTTGGTTTTCGGCCTCTACGTGCAGGATTTCTCCAATTCTCTGAACCTTTTGACGATGTACGGACCGTAGATGATGAAATCCCTGGGTTAGAGGGTTTGTTGAGGAATGTTGTTTTTAAACTGTTGACAATCAGCTCACGCATTTGTTCACTAAGTGGTGACCCTCGCCCCATCCTTGTTTGTGAATGACTGAGCATTTCAGGGAAGCTGCTTTTTACCCAAGAACCTGTTCCCAATTGTTCACCTTGGGATGTTCCAAATAAGTGTTTGATTTCCTCAACTCTCTCAGTCTTTTTTGCCCTTGTGCCAGCTTTTTTTGAATAATGTTGCAGGCATCAAAAATGAGCTAATATTTGCAAAAATTACAAAGTTTACTTGTTCGAACATTAAGTAACTTGTCTTTGCAGTGTATTCAATTGAATATAGGTTGAAAAGGATTTGCAAATCATTGTATTCTGTTTTTATTTACGATTTACACAAGGACTTCACTGGTTTTGGGTTTTTGTAGTATTAGGCTTCTGTCCGTCATCCGAGACGGAATTTGGAATTGGATTTCACATCTAGGTTGATCACAGTAAGAGAAAGGTGCCAGTCATGTTTGGTGACCTTGACCTTCATTTCAAGGTCACATGGAGACTTCAACGTTTTTTTTTACATTTTACCCTTGTCAGCGAGATTTCTCAAGAAAGGTTCACTGGATTTTCTTCACATTTAACCCCAAGCTTCATTTGTGGAAGGCACAGGGCCCAGTCAATTTTGGTGACCTTGGCATAATTTTCAAGGTCACGGCAAGACATTGAATATTTCAGTATGTTTACCTGCATGTTAACCTTGTCAGCGAGATATCTCTAAAACTTTTCTACAGGATAGTCTTCATATTTGACTCCAAGCTTCATCTGAATTCTGTTGAATGTTTATTGATAAGCAGTTTCTTTATTACTGTTTTTACCATTCATACACTGTGACATTCATGTCAAGGTCACAGTAAGTCTTGAAAATATTTTTGCGTTTCAACAGCCACAGTGCAAAATATCAACGGATGTTGACTGGATCATGTTTCTGTTGACATTCAGCTTCATCTTAACCTGTCAACATCACATCATACCTTTTCGTTTTGAATTGATAATTTGCGGCGGGGGATGATGTCACCTTAGTGACAACACTTGTTATTTTAAAAAATGCAAATCTGAATGAAAAAAAATAATAGTAATTTAAGTGCATTTATTGTTTACTGAATTAATTTTTGAAATTATCTGATGTGCAGAAAATGCCACGCTGAGTCTTGTGTCATGCTCTCTCTCTGTATAGTTGGGATAATATAGAGAGAAGGGGGTGGCACGGTGGCATAGTGGGTAGCACTGTTGCTACCACACAGCAAGAAGGTCGTGGGTTCGATTCCAGCCTGGGGCCTTTCTCTGTGGAGTTTGCGTGTTCTCCCCATGTTCGCGTGGGTTTTCTCCGGGTACTCCGGTCTCCTCCCACAGTCTAAAGACATGCATGTTAGGTTAACTGGAGACGCTATATTGCCCATAGGTCTGAGTGTGAGAGCGAATGGTGAGAAGATTTGAATAGCGTCTTGTAATGAACTGTGGAGGGCAGCATTACGCCATATGGCTACAGTCTGCCGGAAATTCAGATAAAGGAAAAAAAAAGAATTTTGAGAGAAACTGCGGAGCATGCACACTGTGTGTCAGGGGCGGATGTAGGCAGAGCTACGGTCGGGCTAAGCCCACACAGCTGTTTGTTTATTTATTTATTGTTCTTCCAGTCATTGAAAAATGTCTGCCCCGTGATATTGACGCTATTTATTTATTGTTCCTCCAGTCATTGGAAAATGTATGCCTCGTGATACTGACACCAGTTTGAAGATTCGCCGGTTTTAAAATGTGTTGCACTCGATTATTACCAAATTAAAATTTATACAACTGTGAGTTTTAGACACTTCAACAATTCTATTTTCCGCCGAAATATACTTTGGCGAGGTGAGGTCTTTGACAATATTGTCCCCGTTATTGTCAGTAAAATCGATTATTTCATGCGTTTTATCATGCAAGTCTCGGCCACGGCAGGCAATAGTGTTGAAACGAGTCCAACCGGAGACGTCACCGCGCGCGGTGGGAACTGGAGCTTCGTTTCACGGTAAATTTGAAATTAGCAAGGCGTATAAACGCAGGGGATTTGTGCTTTTTGTCAGTGCCGAAGATAGTTAAAAATAACACTACACTGCTTATTATGCATTTTCTTGTGTTTCCTGTCCCCTTTAAAATTGACCTCAGACGACGTAGAAAGGTCAAACTTGAGGTCAAGCAAAATGCAACAATTTTCGAAGGCTTCTAGGCTTGAAAATATTGAAGAGAGAGAAAATATGTGTACTGAACACTTATAGGGAGTCATATATGAACTTGCATTTGGTGACTTTGAACTTGACCTTCGATGACCTTGGAAGGTCAAACTTTACAGGGAAAATTCAATGACTTATCTCACCAAAATTGTTACAGATAGAGCTTAGGTTTGTATTCGAGACATATAAGAAGTCATACATGAACTTTCATTTGGTGACCTTTGAAGGTCAAATGTGGCCTAATGAAAAATCAATGACTTGTATCACTAAAATGGTCACAGATGGAGAATAGATCTGTGTTACAGACATCTACGTATCACATATGGAGAAAAGAAAAATTTATTTTTATTCAATTATGGTGACAAAGTCACTGATCCCTTCAAAGAGGTCTGCGGAACCTGAAACAAAAGAAGAATTCAGTTTATGAGATTCAAGATTCAAGAATTTATTGTCCCATCCATCATGCAGTTGCAGAGAGGAGTGAAAAACTTAAAAACCAGGCTCCGAGCTGCCGGATAGCTCACTCGGTTAAGGCACTGCATTGCAGTGCAGAAGTGACTAACACGTCGCGGGTTCGAGCCCCGGTCGTACCAACCGGCAGTGGTCGGCAGCTTTTTCAGAGTAGCGCACAATTGGCCATCGCGCTACAGGGTTTCAAATTGGGAAGGGACTGCCGGGAAAGGGAAATAAATAGCTAGCTTTGTTCGTTGCTCTAGCGCCTCCTGTTGGCCAGACAGGCGCTCGTCAGGAAGATTCTAAGTCTTTTCATGTCCGGGTATCCTCCGCCCTCGTTCTGAACTTGCGAAGATTCAACCAATGAGCGTATAAGAAGCAGTGGCTGACAGGCACGTGCTTCGGAGGAGAGCCGTGAACTGTCTTCACTCTCCTGAGTTGGCAGCAAGGGGTCGCATACGAGCAAGCCTTGTACATAGTTCACCAATTGGGCATTCCAGATTCGGGTGGGATTGGAGATGCCAAATTTATTTAAAAAAAAAAAAGCAGGCTCCTTGGCAATGCAACACAATCATACAATCAAATAAACAACAGGAAATACAGTAAATACATAATTCATAGAAACTATCAGACCAGATAAAAGTGCATTAAAGTACATGAAGGATGCCAATTATTTGAGAAAGGTAAGAGGTGGGGGGGTTATTTGTTGAAGAGTCTAATGGCCTGGGGGAAAAAGCTGTCTCTCAGTCTATTGGTGCGAGCTTTACTGCTGCGGTACCGCTTGCTGGATGGCAGCATTTGGAAAGATGGAGTGGTTCGGGTGGCTGGAGTCTTTTAAAATTTTATTTACCCTTCTGACACACTGCGTCTCATAGATGTTCTGGAGATAGGGAAGCTCACCTCCACTGATTTTTTTGGGGTGACCGCACTACGCCATGTAGCGTCTTGCGGTTGAGGGCAGTGCAGGTTCAACACCAGGCGATGATGCAGCCTGACAATACGCTTTCTATGGCGCCTCTGTAGAAGGATGCGAGGACTCAGACCGAACTTTTTAAGCTGCCTGAGGAAGAACAGGCGTTGTCGTGCCTTTTTCACCGCCTGGTCTGTGTGCATGGTCCAGGTGAGATCCTCAGTGATCTGCACCCCAAGAAATGTGAGGCTGCTGACCCTCTCTATTTCAGCCCCGTTGATATCCAAGCCAGCGTGCTGTTTCCTTTTCCTCCTGTAATCGATGATCAGCTCTTTGGTCTTATTCGCGTTGAGACTGAGGTTGTTTAAGTGGCACCACTGCGCCAGGAAGTTAACCTCGTCTCTGTAGGCAGACTCATCGTCATCTGAGATCAAACCTATGATGGTGGTTTCATCCGCAAATTTAACCACTAAGTTGGACTTGTGTGCGGCTGCGCAATCATGTATGTATAGTGAGTAAAGGAGGGGGCTTAGAACAGCCCTGAGGGGCCCCAGTAATTAGCTGGATTAAGTGATTATTAACCTGTTGGACTTTGTAATTCAACAGGACATATTTGGGATTGTTGGAAACCTTGGGATCTCCCCTAGAATTTGAAAAAGAGCTGAAGTTCCGCAGGTTTGAATACAGCAGCTGTATGTGACTCACTCATTCATCATGAATCATGGGTCTGTAGGTTTTACAAGGCTGAAGATGTCAGTTAGACACAGGGGGAGTACAGCACTGGAGTGAGATGAAGGCTGGATACTGAAAGCTTATCTCTGTGTATTATTGCAAATATGGAGATGTGTTCAGAGAGAGTGCAGATGTGTTGAGCCGTGTTCATGAATGCACAGCATGTATGAACGGAAGTACGTGAGCAACAGAGCACAGGCATGTTCATGGGTCCGAGGGCAAGCAGATATGTGTAGAGATGTGGTGAAGAGGAGAGTGTTTTATGAGGTGTAAATCAGCATTAGGGGAGGAGGCTGTCCCATTGAATTCATGGTCAATGTGGCCATCTCCACATCCTCCTCTCCAACCTCCCACCGGAACATCCACCTCGGCCTAATTCCGAACCTTGCTGTTTCTGATTAAGGGGCCAATCATCATCAGAATGACAAAGAACATGCAAGCATACGGTATAAAGGCAGTCAAAATTAACATGTTATGCATTGCTTCTCTGAGCCCCTTCTGTGCAGGGTCATACCCCAGTCCACCAGAGGGGGCACCAGAGGGTAACCGGGGATGTACGTATTCTCCCGTGAACCATTTTTAACCATCCCCACTCCTATAGTTTTAACATCTTAATAAAGTGCACATCAGTCAAGGAATAGAGATCTTGAGCTGCTAATGAATAGCGTCAAATTAGGGTTGAACTGATTAGCAGATCCCAGAAACCGTGTCACTCTCTGAAACACTAAACAGTATCCGTCTTTCTCAGGAGCACTGCAGGGTACTACAGGGTAAAGTCTGCCTCCTACTGATCACAGTGAGATATTGCATGTGTTATGGGCCTCACACAGGAACGGTCCATGAGCAGAAGAATGTATGTTATTTGTCCTGTTTTCGTGCAGTAAATCAGAGACGAGAGACATTAGTTGCGTTCTTGCTGCGAGCCATCTTCAATCTTCATTTAACAAATCTCTTTGTTGACAAACAAAAGGGTAAATCTCCTTTTTTTCCCCATTTACACAACTTTCTTTTACCAGGTTCACATTTCACATATCAAAATGCGGGCTCCATCTAATCCGCTGGGATAATATAGATTGCTACATTTACATACACAGATCTGCCACTTGGAAGCAGAAATAATTAAAATATCACAATTTTCCTTTGTGAGGCTCACCACGTATTAAAGCTGATTTTAAGCTATTGAAACACATCTAACCAGTACTTTGATACTGTAGTTTAGCTTGCTTTTTTCCCCGGAATAACACACGTACAAAATAGAAACCGAAAAAAATGCATAGGGTTATTTTACAGAAACGTATTTAGCCATTTATCACTTGCAACACATCGTCTCAGTTACAATTTTATCACAGTCAACATTTAAAATCACTTACAGTAACCACATTTTACTCAAAACCTTGATAAAACAACTGCAGTAATAAAAGAACACGCGTCACGGAGCTTCCATAGGAAAGAATGAAAACTTTAACATGAGGCCACCATGTTATCCCATTGTTCTAATGGACACAAAATTATAAGTTTCTCGAGTGATAAAACCCGTATTTTTGCCGTCAAAATTATTTAAAACAATAACGGGATCGTTTTCTTTTAAACCTCAGATGTGCTTTGTATGGAAGCATATAGTTAACAAAATGAAAATGAAAATGCAATGTCAGAAATGCATTTTCATTTTCAGGATACAAGCGCATTATTTGTATCATAATGAAAATTCAAATGTAATCCTCCACTTTGCATTTTCATTTTCAAGTCCATGTATGCAATTTTTATAACAATTGGAAAATTAAAATACATTCCTCATTTACATTTGCATTTTCGAGAAGTGCCCTGCAATATCACTAACAAATCGAAAAAGAAAACGCTAATCGTATAAAGCAAATTCATTCTCGGAAATGCTTTTTCGTTTTCGAGAAGCACGCGCATTATTTGTATCATCACGAAAATGCTAAAGTAATCCTCCACTTTGCGTTTGCATTTTCA